GGGCGGTTGACAAGAAAGTATAGGAGAGAATGAGTGTAGCAGAGATGAGAATGCTTAGATGGATGAGTAGATAGAGTGACTAGAAAAGATAGAATAAGGAACGTGCATATAAGAGGGAATATAGGTGTAGTGTCAATCTTGGATAAGATGAGAGAAATTAGACTTAGATGGTTTGATCATGTTATGAGGAGAGAAGAATCGGAAGCTGTAAGAATAGTTATAGAAAAGAATGTTGAAGGAAGAAGAGGTAGAGGAAGACCAAAAAAGAGATGGAGTGATGTTATTGATGCGATATGAGGACAGTTGATGTGAGCGTAGATGATGTGGGAGATCGGGTCAAGTGGAAGTTTAGAATAAGGGTGACCGAACTCAAGTAGTTGGGATTAAGGCGAGGAAGAAGAAGAATATTTTAAACGAAGTAAAAAATTACTGACATTAATTAATTAAAAATACCAAATATACTTTTTTAACCTAAATAATTATAATTTTAATAGGTATTAAACAATTTTTAAATATAAAACTAAAGTAACTTTTTACATAAGTTAAATTTTTTTAACCCTGTATTATAAAACAAATGTTACATTGTTATAGTTAAATTTATATAACGAAGGGGTTTTTAAATAATATTTTATTTAAATTAAGTGTTTTTTTCTTTCATATCTATACAGTTCATATAAACGTTTTTTTTGTAAAATTACACAATTTTCTAAATTCACATTCCTGAGCACAAATAAAAGGGCTATAGAGGACTGCATTCCATCCAGTTTATATATAAAAGTAATCTTATATATAAATAGTAGAGCCGACTCAAAATAGAGTTTAAGTAGACGCTGACAACAAATTATAATTTTAAGGAAGAAACACATTTAGCCCCTTCAAAAATATTATAATAGTTGTGCCTATGTTCACATTATGGAAATAGATTGATTATTAACACAGGTAAGGTGATTTTTACATTTCTGAGATGTAGCCAATAATTTTCGCATTGTAGATGTTATCCAATTCGTAAAAAATTATCTGGCGTTTTAGAAAAGCTGAAAAAATATTTCAATTAAGTTACAAGTTTAATATAAGGATAATATCTGTGACTATTTATCAAAAAAAGATAATATATTAATTTTTTAAGAGATAAAAAAAAAAATTAAACATTTGATTGTGTCTTATGTAAATCAAAGTTTCAAGTTGTAGAAAACACATCTTCTCAATGAAGTTGTCTTATAATTTTTTGATACATGTTAGAAAATGTCTTTATTAGGGTAATTTTAGAGATTATGGATCCTAATTCTAATATTTATACCACCAGAGTGCACTAGTGTTGTAAGTAGAAAAGTGAAATCATATATAATCCAACCTTAGAGGAAAGGAAAGCGAAACCCAAGAAGAAGAGAAGTGAAAAGCTCCCCACATTCCACGGCTTTAATTAGTTTCTTCTACTACATCACTAATTTGCAGTTGTTATTATTTAATTTAGATGATATTAATGGAAGATCCCCTGTGGTGACAGTCATCAGCAACATAGTATGTGATGTTATCATTGTTCTGACTACGTAATTTCCTACTTAAATCTTATTGCCTGTTGTGACAACCATTACTGAGAACACATTATCGTAGTAATGTGACCGGTATGAATATGACTGCAGCCGCCGTTCTTAATTTTCTTAGAATTGTAAAATGTTCTTAACCTGTCTAATCGTACACATTTTTAACTTAACGGAATGTGCCTATGTTGAGATAGTTTATTTAAACTAAAAATACGCTGTTTTCGGTTTTTTAAAATTTTACAAATTAATTTTTTTTTTTTAAATAATTATACTTACCTTTTCTAAAAATAAAACTTATTGCAACTTTAAAGAGTTTCAAATAACATGAATTGATAAAAACAATTTTTCTATAATTGTTTAAAACAGTGGTAAAAGTAAAAATTACTTATCCATTCGATTTGTTGACAATATCCGGTTCATAAACTTCTCTCTATCTACCTTGGCCAGTAACTTCATAACGGCAAATTTCGTTAAATTTCGAGAGACAGCCAAGGTGTTCCGTCTGGAACATTTCCGTTGTTCACGTACAAGGGTATAAATCCCTACAACTTCCACTATATCTGTACTTAAATATACAACTTGGATCCAGTAAACTATTATATCACACTGGATTTTAGCTGCGATTATATATTGACTTATACCGGAATAAATCAAACATTTTAGTCTTACTACGACATGCTGGTGGTGGTGGAGCAGGTTATTTGTGGTGGATTGGTGCAAGTATCCAAGAACTATACCAAAACAATTTCAAACCCCTGATAACGACCCGATAAAACCTGATTCATGGATCGTATATAACGACTGTAAGTATTTATATATTTACATACATACGCCATACAAAGACTTCCAATGAAAATGAAATAGACCCTCTGGCCGACCTAGATCACTGTCGGACAGAGGTAATACATAACCGATCCAAAAGAGTTGCATGACGAGCACAAAGACTTTCCATTCTTGTCTATTAATGACATGCTAGTGGATACCAAAAAATCCCAATCAATTATAATATTTTAATTTTAATATTAATAATATTATTAATAAAGAAATAATAATAATAACTCTTAGTACATCCAACAATAACATTTTTATTCTTTCGATAAGCGAGTCATGTTTTGAATTTCAACAATATGATGATTGAAACAAACCCAACGATTATCTTTTGGAAAAAATTGTCCGCAATATGAGCAACGCATCGTTAGTCAAATGGCTTAAATTTTTGACAGTTCACACAGTTGGATAAATACGAGTGATTCAAAAGAAAGACCTAAAATGTATCTTAATAATGGATGTATTAGGTAATATTTCAAACAGTAAGAAGCACTTTTTTCAATTTCTCGATTAAAAGCGCTATTGAATCACTCTTAAAAGACGTTAAATACTATGTTAAAAAATCAAATTGAGGAAGTCAAAAAATTCTTACTAACATTAATAGTCCGGTTTAAATAAGATGAATGTTTTCATCTCAAATTTAATTTCAGAATTCAATAGTCTGAAAAAAAAAACAAAAAACAACTTCTATGTTATAGAAACTTGTTGAAAAAATCGAACTTTAAAAATTTCCTGAGCTGACTAAATCGATAAAATCACAGTTTTTGTTTCCAACAGTTCTAAGAAATTAAAAAAACTTCGATCTTCTTGCTCAATGTAACTAATAAAGCACTATTGAAAGTATATAACATAGTAAAATGAATAAAAAGTATGCTCGATCACAGTCCGTATTTTCGTTGTAGTACGCGCAAGTGCATCGCCTTGTGTTTTTGTGCATTCGTGTACGATCGGTGAAATACGACTGCTGCCGAATGCACTTTAAAATCGCGCGATTTTTAAATTGATAATTCTGATATAATATATATGATAGACATAATTTTTAAGTAATAATTATAATAATTACTTTAAAACAACGCATTATAATAATATTTTATAATAAATTTAATCGTGGATACTTATTTTAGATTCTATATATTTTTTTGTTGTAACTTTTGTAATTTAATGAAAAATTAGAATTTTGTACCTCGTTAATTAAACGTGAGCTATATTAACTAGTGTACAGACTTATTTTTTCATGTTATAACATTGAATTAACACCGCTTTAACTCGCTAATAACAGTTCTTATTATTTGCATGAAATTGTTGTATTTTATTCATTTTTCTTCTGTGTGTCTCATAGTAGAGATTTGTAACTTTATAACTCATCTTTGAGTATTTTTTTTTTTATGCTATTTATTAAAGATTTTTGAAATCGACTTTATGTGTAGTGATTATAAACAGACATAATTGACATTTATTTTTAATTTTTTTTTATATTTTGCAAAAATGCCTACTTGCGCAGTTTATAAGTGCAATGGTTCTGGTGGTGAGATTCATTGTTAGCTTTAAGTGTCAATTTATAATATAAATTTATCTGCAATATTGCTATGTATTATTATATTTAAATAAATTAATAAAAGGATTATTGCTAAGTATGTGAAAGATGCATAATGAATGTTAAATATTTTTCCAATAAATTATTATTCATTTAAAAAAAATAAATTAGAAAGATATTGAAGAAATTAATATTAAATATATTATATTAGGTTAAGATGGTATATTCTTGGAAAAAATAGCGCATAGCATTTTTTTTTCTAAAAAAATGAATGAGTATTAATTAATGTGAATTTAAAAAACATTCAACATTATATATAAAAATTATTTTAATTTTTTTACTTATTAAATGAATGAGAGAGATAGCATAATATAATCTTGAAATATAAATTATGTTTTTATATTATAAAAATAAAATTAAATAATATATTCAATATTTCTAGTACCTTTTCATTGTATATTTTTTTAGTGTGCTGCTAATAATGAATATAATCCATCAGATTTATTTGAGGAGGACAGCCTCACATATATAATGAGACATGTAGCTTTTAAATTTGAATACAAAATATCCGAATCTTGTAGATAATTTGAATGAACCTAATGATTGGATAGAGGCTAAACAATTTGGAACATTACGACAACCATCACCTACATTAATAAATTTAGGAAAAATCATAGAAACTATTTTAAAAAAATTAAATGGAAATGGTACTTATAGAAATACAGTTAATATAAAATATTTTATACATACCTGTGATTAAATTTTTAATAGATAATATTAAAAAAACTCCAGGCTTAATAAAGGAGGTACTGGAATTAACTAAAGAAGTATGTAATTCAGATAATCTTTTGGTGGATGATGAAGTCCTAAACTTCATTATTAGAACAAGAATATATTTTAAAATACGGAATCTAAATAAAAAACATGCATCACAAGAAATGAGCATTAAAAAAAATTCAAAAATTTATTAAATAATCATTAAAACTACACTTTTTATAAATAATGTAACAATTTATACTTACTGTAAGTAATTACAGAATAAATTGATATTTAACTATTTATATGCAGTTAAACATTGTAAAATTTTACTATGCAGTTAAAGTTTTTCTCAGGTTAGATTTATCAACGAGTTAAATCTTAGTTTATAAACTACTACAGTGTAGCAGATAATACAATAAAGATGTATTACAACACAGTTGAAGTTAATAATAATAATAAAAAAATTATAAATGAAATTTAAAACCGAAATTAACTAAAAAAAAATCATTAAAATACTTGGCTAAATCGGGACAGTGCCCCTTAATATAGAATATATACAACGCAATGCGTTTACATGTGACGTCATGTTGAGTTTATTGTTGGTTGCATATTTTGCCCCTAGGCATATCATGCGCACTAATTTGATCGAGCATACTTCTTATTCATTTTATTATGATATATAATGCGATAAACTTCAAGATGACTAATCGAATTGCTGAAATCTAAAAACAACTATGAAAGTTTATGGATTATAATGGCAATATCAATTACAAAGTTATCAATTTGATTTCAATGATCAAGAAGAAAATTGGAGTATTTGAGTATTGTTGTTGAAGAAAAACGAATCTTAGAGATGTTTTTGGTAAAAATCACTTGTTAAAGTAAATGTCCGCTATCCATACAGATATGTTTGTGGATAAATACTGGATTTTCAAACGTAAGTCTTATCTAGAATATTTTATTAATATTATAGCCAAATCTCGAATGGTAAACAATTGATTTCAATGACATTACACCAGTTATTATGAAATATGGTAACATTGAATACTCAGAAATCAAAAGAATATCGAATTCGTTGATTGCTAACATAATTTACATGAGAAGGGTACGAAAACGTAGCATAATCAAGAAATACGTTCCTGATAACAATATCGTCATCATGATTGTCTAAGAAAATTCTAGACTAAATCAGTTACTGAACAACAATGATCCACGGTGCTTCTACAACAAAGATTTGAACTCTTGACAGACACACTAAAGAGAATATTTGCACTATGTAGATGGTTCATTCAAAAAAAGGTGTTGTGTTTTGGTAGGTAATTTTAGTTTTGATTCCACTTTCATTCTCCACTATTATAGACATGACCTACTTGCAACACTACCACAATCTGGTGGCAGAAATATTGGAATTAGGATCCAGAACCCCCAAATTTACCGTACTGACTTTCTCTGAAAAAGTAATAAAAATACCAAATACATGTTTTTGTAACTTGTCAGCATTTAAATTTGAGTCATAGATTTAGACACAATTAAAAATGTTTTTCAACTACAATTTGAAAGGTTTTACAAAACAAACATTTTTTTAATTTATAATAAAATAATTTTATGATTGTGTTGAATGCATGCAATCAAAATAATTTATTATTTTATCTTACCACGATGATACGTTTTCTTTTATGTCGCAAGCATTAATATTTTCGTTAAATCCTAATCCAGTTCCACAATTATAAAGTCTCGGTCTGCCGCTGACACACAGATAAAATTTTTGACAATCGTTCAAATGTGGATATAGTTTGTAACTTTCTAATTCATTTTTTAAATGTGGACATTTAAATCCCAGAAAAGCTAAAATTGAAAAAAAAATGTTTAATATATCAAACATTATATAATTTTAATTACTCTTTCAATTTTATTAAAATATTTAATTTAATTATTTTGAACACATACCTTCAGCATCACATGTGTCAACTTGATCTGGCCAATCACATCTAAATGTTAATTCATTAAATGCTAATCCTTCTGGACAATCCATTGTGTATCCTATGCCATTCACACAAATTAAAAATTGACTACATTGAGTTTCATCACCCAATCTAAAATATCCAAATTGTCGTGCGCAGTCTCTTGTTGGTTGAGGTGGCTCTATGCTCAAAAATTAATTGAAAGTTGAATATCAATTTGCAATAAGTAATGTTTTATTATTTAATTTAAAAAAGTCTTATATAGTAAAACACAAAATTTAGTGTCCAAGTAAGATGAAGTTGGTTGGCGATGGTGACAATTGGCGATAAAAATGTAGTTGTTAAGATTAACATAAAATATAAACTACGTATTTAAATTAATATGACAGCAGTAATGATATTGAAAACGGTACTTATAATGGTTACTTAAACACAATTTACATTGTTAATTTGGCGTTAGTAGCTCTGAGTTACAGATGAATAGAACTATCATATCAGCATCAGATGCTCCCATTGTGCTAATTGATATGTTTAACAAATTGAGTAAATGAAAACTCAACATGTATAATACAGGCCTGTACTGGCTACAGAGAGTGCAGGAATATAATTGTGAAACAAATTCAACCCAAACAATTTACTACGAAGAGATCATAGCGCTTCGGGAAATTTCCTGGTATCTAAGCGGGCTAGTATGGGCCTGGTATTATATAAATAGTAAGAACATAATAAAAAATATTTTTATACAGACATTTGACTCAATGAATTCGTTATGAAATTGGTTTAGTTTGTATGGGGGTTTTAAAACATTCTTTTTATTTACACGTTAGTTTGTGGGTATTTTTCTACAAGTATTAATTATTTTGATAACTTAATTGCTTTCATTTTTACGTATTATTACTACTTACGTAATTGAGTTCTTCCTTCACAATCTACTTCTGGGGGGTATTGGCATGGATATGAAAATATCGATGCTTTAGAATTAAAAAATAATCCATCAGGACAAAATTTTTCACTAGGAATACCATTTTCACATTGTAAATATCTAAATTTAAAACATATAGAATTAATATTTCAAATCTAAACGTATAATTCATCCAAGGAGAAGATAGTATACATGGTTATAGCTCTACTATTAAAAAGCTGATGATCACAAACATTTAACAATTTGTGATTAGAGGGATATTTAGTCTGTCCCTCGAATTCTCTATTTATTCCATTAGCCATATTGCTTTTTAAGTTAGTTATAAATGATAGGAAATCTCCAAAAAAATTACAATTTTTAAAATCGCTAATTTTTTAAATATTTTTACTTAAAACTGCCATAACTTTTTTAAAAATGAACATATCAATATAATTCTTTTTTATATAGATGCATAATATCATTACCTTTCATTTGGTATATTTTTTTTATAAATTTAACCCTTAACCTGCCCACAAGGGGGGATTTAAAAGGACAACTTTTTCACAAAAAATGAATTTTTTTAACTTAAATTTTGAAAATGTTCCGGAAAGTCTGACACTTTTATATATATCTTAAATTAAAGCTAATGTAATATAATTTATCATGAAAAAAAAGAAATTTCGGACTTAATCTTATCTTCACGGTGAAAATGGCTACCGAATGCTATTTGTACTATATTTGTGTGAAAATTTTCGATTTTATATTTTATTTTATTTTAAAATACCTTAAAAAAGGTATTAATACTCATTAGATTTTTATCTCATTTAGATTCAATAACTTCAATGAATATCAAAGACCCCATAATTATAGTTTCCCCTCGTTTTATGAAATTTCTTTTTCACATTAAAAGTATTATCTAGTTAAAGATATTACCCTTAAAAATTGAAAAAATTTCCAATTTATCAATTAAAAAGTTACTTAGCCCTTATTTTCCATATAGACAATTAAAGTCATTCAGTTCCAATGAATTTATTGTTAAATTAAGTTTGAATTTATTAATTTTTCAACTCTATTTTTGTTTTCTATAACTATTCTATAATAATGCAAATTTTTTGCTAAAATGCTATATAAATCATTTCTAAAAAAAATGATTTTTAATTTCATTTAAATTTCACTATGGATTTTTACAATTATAATCAAATTTTATAATACATTCAATTTAGTAATTTCTTTTAACAACTTTTTGAAAATATTTATTTTGACATTAAGCTAGTATAATTTTTTAAAAAGGAATTTAATTTGTTTTAGCTTTGATGCGAAGCTGAGAAGGTATTGGTTTTACTAAGATGTGTTTTTTTTTTTTTTTGTGTCTGNATTTTAGCTTCGATGCGAAGCTGAGAAGGTATTGGTTTTACTATGATGTGTTTTTTTTTTTTTGTGTCTGTTACCACTTTTTCTCAGCTCTCACCGAACGGATTTCTTTCAACGATACGTCAAAAGATCACAAATCGTATCTAGTCAAAGACATTACCCTTCAAAATTGAAAAATTTCCCTCGTTCCCCGTAAATGGGGGAAACCTCCAAAAAAATTACAAATTTAAAAATCGCTAATTTTCAAAATTTTTTCAATTTTTTTTACTTTAAAGTGCCATAACTTTTTTAAAAATGACCAAATCAATATAATTTTTTTTTATATAGATGCATGATATCATTACCTTTTATTTGGTATATTTTTTTGTTATATCTGATCCTTTAACTGTCCACAGGGGGGGATTTAAAATGACAACTATTTTACAAAAAATTAACTTTTTCAACTTAACTTTTGAAAATGTTCCGGAAGGTCTGACACTTTTATATATATCTTAAATTAAAGCTAATGTAATGTACTTTAATTTGAAAAAAAAAAANTATCTTAAATTAAAGATTATGTATTATACTTTAATATTAAAAAAAAAAAATTTCGGACTTTCTTTGTCTTCATGGTAAACTAGTTATTGTATTCAAAAATATGCTATTTTTGTGTTAAAATTCTTGGTTTTGTATTTTATTTTATTATAAGGGGATTATACTGATTTTCATAAATATTATATCAATCTAATTGACGTGGTATAAAAAATTAAGCATATTTAAATTTTTTTGTTTCTTTGAATTTGAGAAAAATAACTTTAAAATTTGAACTAGCTAAATTTTTATTAAGTGACGAATGCGACGAACGGTTTCTGAGACGGTAACACTTGGGTCTTTCATGCCTGTGGCACTGAATTTTTTCTTAATTCTTTTTGAGTTAGAAAAAAATGTTTAACTCATTTGATTTTTATCTCATTTAGATTCAATAACTTCAATAAATATCAAGGATCCCATTACTGTAGTCTCCTCTCACGAGAAGAAATTCATATTAATATTATTTTACTATGTGGTTTTTTTTTGTAGCTATCATTTATTTTCTTATCTCTCATTTTTGACCTATTTTTTTGAAAAATTTTTTTTTTAATTAAACACTATCTACAGATTTGCATCGAAGCGTTTTTTATGAAAGTGATATCAATCACTGTCAATTATCATTATACTTGTTCCAACTATGCCACATCCCTACTGTACTGAGTTTTTTTAAAAATAATTTAAAAAAAATATTTGTATTCTTCATTTACGTAATTTTACTAAGACTAAAGTTAATCTTAGTCTAAAATAATCAAATCATTGACTATTATTAATAAGATTCATAACTCGGACAGAGAACTTTAAGCATTTAATGCTTGAAGTCATCTGAAAAAAAATTGGTTATTTAGATACAAAATCAAGCGACATTATACCAGATTCAAGTTAAAAAATGTTTACTGAATATTTTTATACAAGTTTAAGTTTTTTCAATTTTTATTTAATATTATAAATTATTTTATAACTTTTAATCCATATTTCATTCATTAATAATTTTGTTCGAAATAATATTTATTAAAACTATCAACATTTTTAACATATATCTTCAAGATAACATTAAAAATTAAAATTTATTATAGATAATAATTTATTTTATTTAAAATTTTATAATTTATTTGAGTATCATTCATAATCTTAAAGCACTAAAGCAAATGTTTAACGTACATTGTAAATGCACTATTTTAGATTTTTTAAAATCTCTGCCTTATATACAAATCAGACTTTAATAGTCTTGATTTAAATTACAAATTTTCTACTTTAACAAATAGGGTAAAATATATTTTTATGGCTAACTCACGATCAACATGATCAAATTTATATTTTAATACTTTAAATGTATGATTTAAATTAATTTTTATACACATGTTAAAACTTACTTATCACATTGGTTTCCCAACGGGAACCGACCGTTTCTTTCAGGACACAGGTTATCTAAAATTTATAGATATTTATTATATAAGTCATGAATGATTTTAATATTATGATAAATAGATAAAGGGTAGGTGATAAGTAATATTTTTGTATTACTAATTAATAATAGTTAATTACTAATAATAGTTACTTAAAGAAATCTATTATGGTTTCTTATTTTTATTATGATTTGAAAATAATTAGTGTAATTTGGAACTCTCTAAAAAAGAGATGGTTTTCAGAAATTTTTTTGAATCCATACTGTAACCTAGCCTGATAAAATCGGTTTTTTTTCGAGTTTTCTAACCGAAATCGAAACTAAAATCGCATGCGATCCAAACATGTTTCTATAGTCAAAACCGATATCATACATTTTTTAAACCTAAAGTGAAATAGAATGGTTCCAGTCTCAGATAAAAATATAAAACGCATATGGTACTTGCATTTGTTTACGTGCCCGTATCAAACGTTTCACGTGATTTAAATATAACACGAAATAACGCTACACATGAGATAAGATGGTATTCGTGCTCGATAAATTTGAGAAGTTTATGTAGTCGACAGGAAAGAGGATGGCAGAGATCTGTTTCTCCACGATACTCATTTGCTCTGTGGAGTCAATATACCAGTATAGCTGTATTTGAAAATTCAAACAGGACTATTAATGTCAGTGAGGGATGGCACAATTGATTCTGAGTGATTATTTCGAAATAACTCCCATTCAATACTTAGCATTAACAGAGCTATAAAAAGAGCAAACCAATACTGAGGTTAGCATCGATCAACTTAATACCGGTTGGCATGTTGAAATCTCACTAAAGTCAAAGTGGTAATTCTACACATGATTGCAAAAAATAACGTTAAATTTCAATAAATAAATTAATAAATAAATAAATCGATAATATTGTGTTAGCATAATTTAATTTAAAATTTGTAATGCTTCAAAAATAAATATATTCATATCCAAAATTGTCAAATGTTCTTTTGGAGAAAAAAACTCGGGAAAACGACCTGTTGAGTAAATGACTTAAATACTGAATCGAGTATGACAGTTTTTAAATAGTATTATTTTAGCACTCTAGTGTAAAAAGGTTTAGTTTTTTAAACAAGAAATTAAAATTTTAAAGGTTGCTATTAAGCATTTATTCAGAAATACATAAAAGTTATGGTATACTAGGTGTTAAATAAGCAATAAAAAGGGTTTTCATTGTTCCAAGTAACCGTAGAATCGGCTCGTTTCATAACTTATTGAATACTCTGAACATATTTATGAATGTCACATTATAACTAGTTGCTCTACAATTGAGACAATATCCTATACAAACTTTTTGACGGTATATCAAATATTGGAATCAAATATTAAGAATTGACTATGCCTCTTTAATGTTCGCATTTTTACTTCATCTAGAGAATAAAAATGTGATTGATAAAGATATAAACTATATAAATATTTCTTGATATAAAAAAAAGTACGATAATTGAAGTTTTTATTTAATTATAACACATATATAGATTTACAAGGAAATATTATAGTATTAATAATTATTGATTATTATTATAAAATACTAGTGTGAAATTGGTTTATAACAGAATGCTGGGTGTTCAAGGAAACAAGCCAATTTTTATGAACAATAGGATACCCTTGTTTTTATCTTTTAACGCCTAGTGAAAAACTATGTACTTGAGGTTTGAAATGGTAAATTAAAATATTTTATACATTTCTAAAGCACAAAAGTTTCAATTACTCAATTAGAAGAAATATAATTTGATTATGGATCTTTAGTAGAAATTTGATGCATCATAAAATGCAATATTTGCGTAATAATTGGAAAGACAATCTCATTAGATTAATACGAGCTCAATCACGATTCTTGGAGGTTATGTTAGGTCGGTATATTCGCCTTAGGATATCACGAAGCTCGTAGATACTTTGGGTGAGGTACAGACGTGTAACAGAAAAAAAGATGCATTGGAGTTTTCTATGACTATGCGCCTTCTTCATCATCAGCTACGGTATACTCATCGATTGTTACCTGTTTAGATTGTTCTAAAATAACAGTGCTATATTATCTCCGTGATGATGATTACCTGAATAGGAAAGTTGCTTTTCGTCTATTTTGGAACAATTTTGTGTAATCCATAACATAGTGTTTGTATGTTTCTTACATAAACGAAGAAAACAATCTCTTACTAAGTAGTATAACTTTATATAAATAAGCAAAAAAAAACTAATGTTAACTATGAATAATATTAATAATTTTTTTCTTGTAGACAGTATGATTTCCGAGTGAAAATGTCTGCTGGTTGGGTTTACTAAAATACTGTCAGAAAATTATTTTATAACTATAAAACCTTGAAGTATGTTTTAGATATTAAATATCTATAGATTGTATATAATTCATTAGTTCCATTTTTAATATATTATAAATACCCTTATGGGGTGGTATTTATAATACCTATTTAACTTCTTTAAGTATAACCATTAACGGTTTAATGAAAATTATCATCTCAAAGCTATTCTTTTAGCCCTCTAAATAGTTGTATATTGATTTTAATGTCCCTCAACTGTCTGTCTTATACTATTAGTCCTTAATTTTACTAGAATATAATCATGGTTTAAATTGAATAGAACATAATTATGATACAAGAAATAAATTATTTTCTATTCTAAATACTATTAAATTTTATAACTCTCAAAGTGCAATTAATAAATGCACATTATTTTGTCGCAAATTAAATTTAAATATATATAATTTAAATAATATTAATTTTTTAAAAATGTATAACAAGAAAATTAATCTTGATAATATCACTCTTAGTTATTATTAAGTATATTATTATAAATATTTAGTTGTTGATGTATATTTATAATGATCTTGTATCAAAATATCCAACTAAATTGTTTAAAATAATTGATATATTCGTTAAATATAATGACACCATTGTTATCGTCAAAAAATAATAAATAATCTTATAGACAAATGTAAGGTTTTTTATACTAAATTAATTAAAAAATCTATAAAAAATACTAAAAAAACTGCCTATATATATTTCTGAAACAATATAGTTGTAATATTCCCTCAATAAATTTAATTAATTTTTGAAAATGTACGTCATTTTAAGGTTTAACTTTGAAAAAAAATTCGTTTTTGATTGATATTTCAAGTGAAATGGAGTCGTGCATTTCACTTATTATTTGTGTAGTTTTTTATATCACTTCTAGTCTTTAGTCTTGAGTTATGATTAACAAATTTTATTGTTAAATTTATGTAAATAGGTTTATAAAATATTTTTCAGCTCTTAGATTATTACGCTGCATGAAAAAAACAAACTTATTTTTATAGATACAAGTATTTGGCTTTAAAAATTTTAGAAATTTTAATTCATATTGTTCTTGTATTACAGCTCGATAACGCACTATTTATGAAATATCAATGAGGTTGAACAATTTTTCCATAGTCTTAGTAGAGAAACGATATTTTACCATAGACTGAAGTGATGAAACATATACCTACAAATTTCTATATTATTCATAGTTATTTTTATTAAATTTTTATGCCAATGTTTGATTACTTATATTTTACATCTTAAAAATTATTTAAGTATTTATTCAAATAAATTTTCTATCGAAAAGTAAACAATTAATATTGAAATCTAGTTTGGAAGAATAATATAATAAAATAATTTTCTGTTTGTATGTTCAAAATATAAAAAATAAATTAAATATTTTAATTGCATATTTATTTTATATATTTTTCACTTACAATTACTCTAAATCAAAACAAAAAATACACGATTTATTTCAATTGAGATAATATAATATACAGAGTGGCCCACCACTCACTGACAACTTAAATAACTTTTGATCCAGTTAATATTTTTACTGATTTTTTTTTTTAAATAATAGTTATACGTTAGGTCTATAGCTATATCTCAATAATTAATTTTTTTACATTTTATTAAAAATATTAATTATTTTTAAATTTTAAATAAAAAGTTGATGATTATTGTGTATACATATGATGATAATGTGTATACATTACAAACTTGGCATTAATACCATGATAAGACATTAGATAAGGCAATTATTACTTATCACTCTCATTCAAAAGTATATTGAAAAGATAGCGTTTTCTTCTGTCCTTTTCTCAATACGTATTTCAATGTTTAATACCGTAAAATAATACATGAAAATTCAAATTTTCACAAACTTCAAAACGCTACAGAATATTTACTACTGAATATTAATAAGATATTTTTTTACTAAAATTTTTCTTAAATTCTACTCTACAAAATAGCTATCTTAGATTTTTTTTTTACATTTTATTAAAAATTTAAAAATAATTAATATTTTTAATAAAATGTAAAAAAATTAATTATTGAGATATAGCTATAGACCTAACGTATAACTATTATTTAAAAAAAAAACCCAGCACAGGGGGGTCGCGGCACAGTGGTGTCGTGGTATAGTTGGATCAAGTATAATGATATCTGACAGTGATTAAAATCACTATAAAAAAAAACGCTTCGATGCAAATCTTTAGATAGTGTTAAATTTTAAAAAAATTGGTGTTTTATTCCAAAAGCTACATGATCTGCTGGTTCCTTATTAATATCTCGATTAAGATAAAGTATGTCAAACGAAAAAGGGTTTATTAAAAAATATTATTTCTCAGAAAAAAATTGTGTGGACCATACACTTTTCAATAAGTTATAGCATTATAAAGTCAAAAATGTAAAAAATAAAATCAAGAATTTTCAAACGAAAATAGCATTCGGTAGCGATTTTCGCCGTGAAGACAAGTCCAGAGGTCAAATTTTTTTTTTTAAATTAAAGTATATTACATTAGCATTAATTTAAGATATATATAAAAGTGTCAGACCTTCCGGAACACTTTTAAAAGTTAAGTTGAAAAAGTTCTACTTTATATATACATTTTTTATATTTTAAGCCCCCCCATATATAGGGAAATGGTCTGATTAAAAAAAAAAGTATGTCCAATGAAAGATATATATGAATACTACTTTTCATGAAAAAATTGTATTGATTCATACATTTTTTAAAAAGTTATAGTACGTTAAAGTAAAAAATGTAAATTATAAAATCGAGAATTTTCATACAAATATAGCATTCGATAGCCATTTTCACCATGAAGACAAATCCAGAAGTCAAATTTTTTTTTTTTAAATTAAAGTATATTATATTAGCATTAATTTAAGATATATATAAAAGTGTCAGACCTTCCGGAACATTTTCAAAAGTTAAGTTGAAAAAGTTAATTTTTTGTGAAAAAGTTGTCATTTTAAATCCCCCCCNAAAAAGTTAATTTTTTGTGAAAAAGTTGTCTTTTAAATCCCCCCTTGTGTGCAGGTAAAGGGTCAAATTTACAAAAAAAATATATTAAATAATAGGTAAAGACATCAAGCATCTATAAAAAAAAAAATTATATTGATATGTTCATTTTTGAAAAAGTTACGGCACATTTTAGTAAAAAAAATTGAAAAAATTTCGAAAATTAGCAAATTTTAAATTTGTAATTTTTTTGGAGGTTTCCCCCATTTACGGGGAACGGTGGAATTTTTTTCAATTTTTAAGGGTAATGTCTTTGACTAGATACGATTTGTGATCTTTTGACGTATCGTTGAAAGAAATCCGTTTGGTGAGAGCTGAGTAAAAGTGGTAACAGACACAAAAAAAAAAAACACATCATAGTAAGATCAATATCTTCTCAGCTTCGCATCGAAGCTAAAATCAGCTAAAAATATTAACTGGATCATAAGTTATTTAAGTTATCAGTGAGTGGTGGGCCACTCTGTATAATAGTGTACAAGTTAACTTTATAACTTTCAAATGAGTGGTCCAATTGCAAAAGGATGTTTGTTCAAGAAAATAAAATGTTGTTTTTTTATGAATGAATTAGCTTACAACTAGATGATTAAGTCCATGCAAAAAGGGTTCTTAACGTCATTTTTGACTAAAACAATTAAATGCTGGATTTTATGTTTAAGGGGATAGTTTCAACGTTTTATGCAAGAATGGATCTTATTCTTGGGATAAGGTCCTGTTTTACATGAAATTCCATAAAATTTTATTTTGATTGGCTTTTATTACATTTTAGGGTTGAATGATGTTAATGATATCAACTGATGTTTTGTTCATATTGTTATCATTTGATATTTTCACTTTCTTTCAAGTAAACATTGTGGTTGGGTTGGATGAACAACTGACTGTTCGGATCGTCCGGGAGAGGCAGTCAAATCTCTGCACGCTCTTCTGGTACAAGGCATAAGCCTAAGAGCGGGGTTCTTTGAAGTCCCAACTGAAGACCATAGTCCAAGTTGGGTCTATGATGGACCTGATATTAGGAAGCATTTATAAGCCGCAAAAATTCTTGTATAGAAGTTTGCCGTTTTAGGACTTGAAAAGCTAGTTAAGGCTGGTGACCTAGCGTATTGTATACATGTACTTTATGTTTGTGAGTTATAAAACCCCAGCCCCTCGTAATTTTCTGCCTTCATTATCCGTAGTGCATATCACGCAACGGACTTTTTGGACACGGTTAATGAGGAGGCCAGGCCGTTTTGGAACTTGGCCCTTGATTAATTTCGGACTGATTTACAACACGATGACGTGAGTTATAGAGACGATGGAGCCACTCTGAAGTAATTGTTAATGGCAGTTCAAGGACAGCATACAATAATGCCGGTCAGAGAGAGAAAAAGGGTTGGACGAAAAAGATGAAAATATAAAATAAATTTTTAAATAATAAAAAATTAAAATAAACTATTTAATTATAATTTAGTTTTTTCATTTGAATTACATAATTTCGACTAGAGTTTAATATTTTTTTTATTTTACTTTGTTCATTTATACAAAACAGAACATTAGTTTACAATTTTTTTTATATTGCTTAAAAAACATAATCTAGAGCTAAAAGCAATTGAGTTATTGATACATATATTCAATCACGACATTAAAATCTTATTTTCTCTAGGATCTAGGATGTTTTTAAATTTTTTTTTCAATAAAATGAAAATGTTAAGGATCCTTTTTGTATAGCCTCATCAGATAGAAAAAATAAATTAGAAAAATGTGTTTTTTTTAACACACGTCTTTTTGCTACTGGACGACTCAAAAATTAATTACATTCTGTACAAATAATAAAAGTTAATTAAATATTAAATTTCATTTAAAATATCATAACAGTTGTAATCACTTAAATATGCCGTATATAATGTAATATATATATATATATATATATTAGGATGGCCCTCAAAAATCGAATTTCTTTTATTTTTTTACATTACCTATTAATTTTTTTTTAATGGTCAAAAAAATGAGCTGTGCGAAATTTGGGACTGATCCGTTTAGGTTAACCCGTGCCCCCGGGCCTATTAAGTTGAGTCGAAGAGTCAAATTTAATAGAAATAACTGATCTATGTCTCATAGCTTTTATTTTCTTACTTAGTATTATAAAAGTAAAACTCAAGTAAAGGAAATTTTACAAGAAATTCAAAAATAATAACTTCAATGTTGTTTTCTTAATAAATAGCCCACAAAAACACTACATACAGTAAAAAAAATGTAAAAGTCTTAAAANTTTCTTAATAAATAGCCCACAAAAACACTACATACAGTAAAAAACATGTAAAAGTCTTAAAAATACGTTATAACTGATTTTGTTCATTTTTACTTATTTATTTTCATTTTATTCTTTAAAAAAACGCATATTCGTTTAAAAAAAGATTCTAAAAGTTTAATTTTTTATGCCAAGTACGATAATAACATTAGATTTATTATTTTATGGACAGTTAATTAATAATTAGTTACAAACCTAACAAAATCATTGTATTATTACATTTTGTCGTAATAATATATCAATTTTGGTTTACTGAATTACTTTAAGATGGTACCAATTATATTATTATTAATGATTTGTATATTTGATTTGTGTGGTAAAAATACAGGAGACAATTTGTGAACACGTTTAATCATATCTTACATGTTAATTGTTAACATGTTACAAATGAACAAAATCAGTTATAACGTATTTTTAAGACTTTTACATGTTTTTTACTGTATGTAGTGTTTTTGTGGGCTATTTATTAAGAAAACAACATTGAAGTTATTATTTTTGAATTTCTTGTAAAATTTCCTTTACTTGAGTTTTACTTTTATAATTCTAAGTAATCAAAATAAAAGCTATGAGACATAGATCAGTTATTTCTATTAAATTTGACTCTTCGACTCAACTTAATATATATATATATTAAAAAAAAAGTTTTATGTATATATATATACATAAAACTTTTTTTTATACAGTAAAAATTTTTTTTGTACTGTAGGACTGTGAATTAAAATTTGTTAAAAATTTAACTTAGTGGCGTACGGAACATATGATACTATATTTCGCTGTATTATGTTAAAATTGTTATTATTCTAATGTCTCTATTAATTGCGTTGGAGTACAATATTTTATTTATATTTAAAGAGTATAAAGTTATAAGTTAAAATGTTATATATCCACAATGGAATTTCATTACTTTCTTCGTAAATACAAACTATCTTATACATCTACATATATAGTAAAAATGTCTGCAATTTATATTTATATTAAAACTATGAATTACCTGCGTTTATATCCGATATGGCTGCAATCGCAGTAATGACAATAAAATAAAGACGAATCATCATAAGAAATTTTCTTATAACTGTACAGGTAACAAAAGCGCACTGATCGTAGTTGTTTTTACCGGTTACTACTATCGGATAGCGGACAAGAAACAATTTTATCAAAAGTTGCATAACTGATCGGCGCTGCTGTTTCTACACGACGACGCAACGATGATGCTTTGGATCGAACAACATTCTTCTTCTACCATCTTATTGTCGGTGTCCTCGTGGTTATAAACGCACTACATTATTCTTTCCTAATGATTTTAACGTCCACGTAATGGAATACATATATCCACATATTGAAATGGTTCTTTCCTTTTGATGTACTTGATTTTGCTGGTTAATGTCGCCGAAATCGGACTCGTCAAGACAAGGTCAACAACACATGCATAAGTCTACTTATCTGCTAGCCATAGACATATCAATACGGAAAAAATCATTAATGGCATTTTACTTAACCAGTTTACAAATACTAGACTTGAGTTCTTCTCAAATTTCATTGCGTTGACTAGTATCAATTCAAAGTTAAACATTATACAATTTTATCATAAAATAATTTAAAAACAACAAATGATGGTTAACTAATTTTACCATATTTCAGCTTTAGATTTAATGTAGTAATATCGGTCAGACAATTTTCAACTCAAACATGACGGTAATTATATATATTTTACTCTGCCGTGTTTTTTTTTTTCTATCACTAGACATCGATAAACTCTTTTTGGACCAATTTTGTTCAATTATACGTAAAAAATCATACATTTTGTCTGGTTAAAACTATAATGTCAAAGTTTTAAAAAAATTCCTTAATTTTCAATTGTTTCAAAACAGTTAATATCTATTGATATTTTTAGTTACCCTTTACATTGAAATAACTTGATAATTAGACGGATTATTGCGAAATTTTTATTGACAATGTTTTAGATATTAACCTTGCAAGTGACATATTTTTTTGGAAATTTAATCATTAAATGATCATTAATTTCACTATCATTATCATTTATTTAATCATAAGGGAGCTTATATTATATTAAAACTTTAAGGAAAAAATATTTTAAGTTGTTTTANTATTAAAACTTTAAGAAAAAAATATTTTAAGTTGTTTTAAATATACAAACAGTTTTAAACATTGGAACGTTTTAGGGCAGTTATTTTAATCACTATGAGATATCAATCTAAAAAAAAATCTTCAATTCCATTGTACTGTATCCCGACTATACTTAACTTATGTTTACATCAACTTTAATAACATAAAATATTATAGCAGTATCAAGATTTACATCGTGAGCTTGGGAGATGAAGTTTTTAGAGAATAATTTACTTTCACTATCTTGATTATCAAATTATTCAAAGTAACCATCACGCTTTTTGTAACATCACTTTTATATTTTAAAATTTACTATCTAATTATATGGTAATAGTTTAAGATGAGTTTAAATACGAACCTATTTTTATAAATTCGATATTAAAATTTTGCTATCAAATACTTTACGCTACATTCAGCCCATATATTGTACTACAAATAACGATAATTTTACCATAAAATAGATAAAATTTTATATATTTCATGATTTTTCTATCAACCATAAACTGAAATTAATAAAATATATATATATACCAGAAAAAATCAGTAGATAGAAGTAGCGCATTACTTGTAGCGATACTATAGTGTGCTACATTTTTTTTGTAGTTGTACGAGAGCGAATAATTTTTTTTTAAATTAACGTTTTAATAGTGACAAAAAGTTTTTTAGTATCGAAAATACTTAACTGCTTGCTATTATTTATCATAACTATTTATTTTTCACGAGTAAAATTTGTAAAAATTATCAAAATTGTGGTCATTATTATTTATTGGTCAGATATTTTAGAAGCCATTACTTCAGAACTAGTAGCGTATGTAGAAATCTTGTATGAGAGGTCCAGATACCTTTTAAGATATCAAGTAGTGAGAAAATTCACCTTTTCATATCCCCCGCTACTGTATATTCATGTCCATGGAGAGTCCGGATCCCATGAACTCCCGTAAATACTTCATTTCACAGAATATAACCAAAGATAATATTATATTAGCTATCAATACTATGATGATTGAAATAACATTGTTAGAAGATATAGATTAAATTCGAAAAAATACATAACTATAATAATAAAAAGTTTTTAAATACTTTAAAAAGATTAATGATTAATGTAGATAAGATTTTAGCTTCGATGCGAAACTGAAAAGGTTTTCTTTTACGATGATGTGTTTATTTAACACGCTTATATTAGTTTCACGTGTATGTATGTTTGTAAATTGCTTGTAACTCTCCACGCGCCACTTGTTATTCTCGCGTATCCCGTCGTATATGGCCTTGAGATTAGACTGCCGTAACGCATTCAACCCATCCCGCTTATCCCACGCCGACAACACTGTTCCTGTATAATTTTATTTTTGGTTTACGTACCCGTACGCGCGTGCGTTTCATCAATATTATATATATATATATATATAAACAACTTTTAATTGTGACGCAGCCCCACCACTCGTGCCACTTTTATCAGCCATCGCCCTATTATGAGTATTTTCGTTTGATTGACCAATACTGCGTGCCATACGCCACGGTGCAAAGTCCAGCAAGTGCCGCACGGCCGACAACGACCCGCCACAAATGATACGTTAAGTCTTCTTCCCGTTATTAAAGTGACAACGTCGATTATGTATGCCACCGGCTGCGGACGTGTCGCACGACCGAACTAGACGAACCGATCCGCACCCGCGCACCATCGCCGTCAACGCTGCTAACTTCTTGACGCTCGATGATAATGCCGAACACCGCTTTTAGCCGGTTCGGGTACGCACTACAATATTTATTGCCCCTGTCCTTACAATATTTTAACCAAAAACGTAAATACCGAGCTATTCAAAAAAAAATATGTATAGTTTAAAAAAACACGCTTTCAAAACATATGAAACTACTAAAAAATGAAAAATAAATATAGTTTAAAAGCGTGGTTTTTTAGTTTTTTTTAAACTATATTTATTATTATTTTTTTTTGTTTCTGTGAACGCTAAAACTCAGCTTTGGCTGGACCAATTTTGATGAACAATACGTCAAAAGATCACAAATCGTATCTAGTTAAAGACATTAGTCTTAAAAATTGAAAAATATTCGCTCGTTCTCCGTAAACGAGGAAAATCCGCCAAAAAATTACAAATTTAAAAATCACTAATTTTTGATATTTTTAAAATTTTTTTTACTTAAAACTGCCATAATTTTTTAAAAAATGAACGAATCAATATAATTTTTTTAGGAAGAGTTTTTAAATGGCAAATTTTTCACAAAAAATTTAATTTTTCAACTTAAATTGTGAAAATGTTCCGGAAATACCGACACCTTTATATTACCTTAAATTAAAGCGTATGTAATATTCTTTAATTTGAAAAAAAAAATTGTCCTCTTGACTTGTATTCATTGTTAAAACGGACATCAAAATCATTTGATTTTTATCTCATTTATATTCATTAACTTCAATAAATATCAAGGATCCTATCACTGTAGTCTTCCTTCATGAGAAGAAATTTCTTAATCATGTTAATAATATTTTTCTATGTGATTTTTTTGTGGCTGCGATTTATTTTTCTAACCCTCACTTAACCTACTTTTTTCAACAATATGTTAAATGATTATAATGCGTTAATTGATGATATTATACACAAAAATTTAAATTACGATAAAAATGCCAAAAAAATCGAGCTTTTCTGATAAATTTACCGTAAATAGTAATTATAAAATTTGCAAACCCCATATTAAACTTAACAATTTCATTTTTTACTATTTAATGATGTCTATAGACTTGCAAAGATAAGAGAGAAAAGGTCTAAAGATTACCATTATATAAGGTGTATAAAAAATGTTGATAATAAGGTACTCTCGAGTGATGATGATGTGAAAAAAAGGTGGAAAGAGTATTTTGAAAAATTATTGAATGAGGAGTACCCAAAATAGACATTAGAGGATATCTCGTGGAATGAGGGACTGGTAGATTTAATTACCGAGAAAGAGGTATTGGAGGCTGTGGCATCAATAAAAAAGAATAAAGTAGTAGGACCAGATGAAGTACCAGTAGATGTATGAAAAATATTTGGCAGTGTTGGCATAATCACCACGATTGAAGGAACTTTTAAATAAAATCTTATTAGAAGGGAAAATACCAAATGAATGGAGGAATAGTATTATAGTGCCGATATTTAAAGGTAAAGGAGACATACAGGAGTGTGGAAATTATAGAGGCATAAAGCTTATGAGTCATAGTATGAAAATTTGGAAAAAGGCAATAGATAAAAGAATAAGAAATGAAACATCGGTATCTAAAAACCAGTTTGGATATATACCTGGTAAGTCAACAATGGAGCCAGTATTTTATGTGAGGCAACTAAAAGAAAAGTTTAGGGAAAATAAGAAAGAGCTGTATATGGTATTTTTAGATTTGGAGAAAGCGTAAGACAGAGTACCGAGAGGGGTTTTAAAGTGGGCATTAATGAGAAGAGGAGTCCCGAAAAGGTACATTAATATAATAGAAGATATGTATGATGGCACTTGTACCAGGGTAAAAAGCGTAGGATAAGTATCAGAAGGTTTTCGGGTAAGAGTAGGAGTGCACCAAGGTTCTGCTTTAAGCCCTTACTTATTCTCTATTGTAATGGATGAAATTACTAGAGAAATACAAGGAGAGGTGCCGTGGTGCATGTTGTTTGCTGACGATATAGTGTTAATAGGAGAAAATAGGGAGGAAATTAATCAAAGGTTAGAGGTGTGGAGATCAGCTCTTGAAGAAAAGGGTTTAAGAATAAGTAGAAGTAAGACAGAGTATATACCTACATTAATAATTGCACTTTACTATCAGTTTTTTATCTTAAAAGATCGACAATTGTCGACAAATAAGTTTTTTAACATTAAAATTGATATTTTTATTCCTGATGAAGTAAGTGGTGTATGTTTAAAATACAATAAATATTTTCCTTTTATTTCTTCATGTATATTTAGATTCTCGAAAAATGTTTATAAAAATTATTAGATACGTTTGATTCAGCAGAGGAAGTGCAATGTCATTAGTGTTTAATGGTAACTAGATAAATTTATCTAAATATGATAACTAGTATGACAAGTAAGTTTTCAAAAGGTTTATTTTACACATTTTTTTTTTCTCATTTCAAATTTGTTTCTGCGTTTTGTGTAGGATTGTACGTTTTAAGAGTCCAAAGTTTAACGTCTCATCTTATGTAAGTGAAATTTACAATTTACAATTTACAATTTTAAAATTTAAATTGTTTTAAAAATACGTTTTTCTTTTCTATTTTTTACTCGATTAGTTAATTTATTATTTTTAAATATATTGGTATAAACAAAATTTGATTTTTTTAATTTTTCACCATCAAATAACCTAATCTTTATCTAAACATTATTTTAAATAATAATTGATGATCATAAATCTTATTGTGATTCTATTTTTTGAGTTTGCTTGCGTTTATTTTAGTTAAATATTTATTGAATAATAAAAATATGCATATAGAATTAAATTAAAAAGTCTAGTATGAATAATTATAATTAATTATTGAACTCTAGAAGAAATAATCAAATAAGACACAATAATACCTGGCTAAAAAAAGTTGTGAATGAAAAATATATCCTCATTAAAAATCATTAAAAAATAATCGTTTATTGATTATTAAATCAAAAGAAAATAACTCAATAAAATTAGAGTAATAATTTGTTAATAAATAAGTGTAGAATAAGGCGTTTTATGTACACAATCACGATGCACATTTGTATGTAGTTTTGAATAATTCTAATTATATTTTAAAAACACTTACATTTTATAGCTTAATTTATGATATTTGTTCATCATGAAATAATTAAATATTCGCAAAATAAAAATAATTTTGAAAATTTTTTATGATTCCTGTTGAACCAAATTTCATCAAAAAATTGTTTTGACGTAGAAAAAAGTTAAAATATAAATAGATCAAATACGATGGACAATAACTACAAAAAATTGTACAAATAAATCCGAAAGTTAAGTAATAAAGTTAATTAAATCTTACACTTAGTGAGTCTTTGGAGACTATAATAATAACGACACTAGTGTTCAAGAATATGTCAACTCGGCTAATGCTCAAAGATGTTTCAAAGGTATTAAGTAATCACTGTTATAAGGTTTGTATAGTGAAGTACAAGGTGCTGGCGAAGTGCAAGTTATCGAGGTAGGTATGAGAGTTGACCAAGTTTGAGATGCTGTAAACAAAGTGCAAGACACAAATACTTTGCAATAGGAGATTAGGATCTAGTATACAAAATCAATTAAAAATATACCTCTAAAAATAAGCAGCAACAATCAAATTTCATGACTGATAACCATTCACGTACTTAGAAGAACGTATGGTTTACTGGAGACTACTAACACCGATGGTCGGATAACTTATTGTTTTTAATTTTTATTAAACCATCAGTCACGGTTTGCAAATTCACTGTTCAAATTGTTTAATTAATCATAATAATTTTATTAATTTTCATAACTTAATTAAACTAATGTTTCATAAAATTTAAGAAAAGGGCAAAAAAATAAGTGTTTGCGGATGCATGTATTACTCAAGCACTATCATTTGACTAAATACGTAGAGAAATTTAAAAATTAAAGTACTTAAAATTTAAATAAAATATCATTTAAAGTTGAAGAGATTCAAGTTTTAAATAAACAGCATAATGAAATCATATAGTTACAAAATATTTTTTATTTAATAGCCTTATTAACTCATTTAATAGTATATTTATAATAATAAATCTAGTTACTAAGTACAAAATCGGTAATAATCATGTATAAGCTATGGTTTTGACTGGAGTATGTAATAACATATGTATTTAGATAAAAAAATATGTGGCTTATATAAAACATAAAAATAATGTCTTTTAATTAAAATAAATTTTACATAAAAATAAAGTAATAAATGTTTATGGATCACTGATTTTTGCTACTTTATTTATAAGAAAGTGAAAAAAAAAAAAATTTAATATAGTTGACGAAACGATGTCCCCAACTAGGTTAATAATACATTATAAAAATCAAATTAACAAAATATCTAGAGATCACAATAAATATATGAACTTATATTGATTTTAAAATGTACAATATAATGTTTTTGTAATATTAATTTAATTCTTTTGTCAATATAATATATAATTAAACAAAATAGAATAAAAAAATTAAAACAATAATTAAATAATTTTATTAGTTGTTCTTATAATTGTAAAATGTTAAATTATTGCTTTCTTTGATGCGTTTTTTTAGGCATCATTTTGGACTAATTTATAAATATGTGGATGTTACTTACATTAAAACGTGTAACACACATTATAATTATGATTACCATTTGGCAAATCGTTAATTTATTAAGAATGGCATAAAAATTAAATCACAAACTAGCTAATTAATAGCGATAATTATATAAACAAACAAGGAGGATTAATTATAACAAAAATGAATTTTTTTTTTGATCGCATCGAATAGCACTAACGTTTTGGAAGCCAATAATTCAATTAAATTAAAAATTGGCTTAAAGGAGAAGTTTTGATGTGTATATTTTAATTATGATGTTTGGGCATACTACGATAAACTATATATTTGTCAATTTAATAAAATAACAAAATAGTTTACTGTAACGAAACGCTTGCAATTGGAGGCGATCTTGTTTGTCCCATAGAAAAAGTTCCCAACCACCGAAGAACCAAGAAATCAATAAAAATTTAAAAAATTGCAACTATTTGGTAAATGGCTATGCATGTATGAAATAAAAATAGTACAAGGAACATTTAAAGAATATCGAATTTAACGAATATACAAAGATAGATGAACACTTATCACTTTATACATAGAGAATGCATGTATATAAAGATAATTTTTATCATGAGCGATTAATAATAGAAATAATACAAAGAAAATGTATAACATATAATTTGATTAAAGAGCTTTACAATGTGTAAAATTAAAACAAATTGGCATCTATTTTATACAGGCGTTTATATAAAAAAATACATTTTATTTGACTTTTAAATACTATGTTATCTCAGCTAAGGCCAACGGACATGGCAGCGTGCAATTTCATTTAATAAGAGGAGATTACATGATCAAAAATATTAAATATTACTAAATTGATGCTTTTATAAATGATAATTGTATTTGCTGCTGCCATCGGAAGTGACGCCCTCGTCCGGTATGAGTCGTTTGATAATATAAATAAATGTATATTGACCAACATCCGGATATAAAAAGAATTACTCGAACATTGCATACTGGCTGATGTATGTATACATAATGTACGCAAATATAACTTATCAGTCATTGAGTCTATCTGAAACACAATCATTCATAAGGATGAAAAAACATTCAAAACATTTTTTTAAGTATCATAATGACATAATTTATTTATCACGGGACTAATCAACGCCCAACCTTCCTTTAAGTTAAAAAAAGCGAATCAGGTATCTTATGTTAAAAAAAGATTTAATATATTAAATAGCAATTGTCATAGTCTTCATTACATAATCGACCTTCAGTAAACTGGTATGTTTAATAAAATCACTAATTAATTTATTGCTTTTCAGTAAAGCGGAATCAAAATTTTTCCTTTACTCTTAATGAAAGGTATTAAAAGTATAAAATATATTTAATATAATGGTTAAATTATTTGGAAATTTCTTTTTTGTTTAGTGCATGCTTTTGATATTTTCAGTACATATAATTAAAACTATACCTGATCTCTAACGTGGGAGTCGATGGACTGAATTCTATACAGCGCACCCTTTTCGTGTGCCATATAAGACTTTAAGTTCGGGCAATATTACTCTTTTGACCAGACTGTACGTTTTGCTGGCCAACACCTGTCGTGCCGGATCCTTCTTTAATGTTTTAATACCTGGTTTGTGTACTAAAAATGCATTATCCAAAATGTGGAATTCGTAATCCAAAACACATAGCGTGTAGCCCTACAATTTAACAAATATTTTGTGTATAGTTTTTTTTAACATTTTTACAGAGTAATTAATCGATTTAAAGATTTCTATTTAGTAAAATTAGGTTTTAAGCAACACAAAAATTTAAATCTGATCCTTACAGTATTTCAATTATTTAATTATAACTAAACTTTTAAAACTTATATATAAGTTTATTTATTTTAAGTATATATTATTATAGAAAAGAAGAGGTTAGAATTTTAAACAAGAAAATTTCATTAAATTTAATGGGACTAGTCTCTTAATCTCAATATTGTTATTTCATAATCATACTTGGGTCATTTTGTCCATTTTGCCTTCCCAGCTCAGTCTTTCATCGTACAAGGGGTCGTTGTGAGTACCAATAAAAATTGGTTCCCAGTGTAGATGATAACCGGTCCGCTTGCCTGTATGAAACACGCTGATTCCTGATTTGGGCTTAGCACTTGCCCATTCCTTAAATTTGGGTACTGTATGACAGTCCGGACAGACTTTTTTGTGGAATGTGATAGCAGTACCATTTTTCAGCATAGAAACCTGTAAATTTATTAATAGTATTATTTTTTTATCCTACAACTTCTAGATGTAAATTGAAATGTTATTCAATTTTTATAAATTATTTTATATAGTGAATAGATTTCTTTTTTAAATCATAGATATAAAAATAATAAACGTCTTAAGAAAAAAACACATCAACATTAAAATGTTTTCTACCTTTTTTTAAAATTTAATTAAATAAATTGTTTATATTAAAAAATATTTGTGTTAAATTCGTGAACCTGGCAATATCTATTTATGAATTTTCATGACGTTAAAAAGTTTTCAGCACACTAATAGCACTCAAAATAAAACTTTGCTTATAACTTTAGTAATTAAATCCATCTATATTTTCATTTCAATTCGCTTATAAAAATATTTTCTGTCTTCTTGCCTTTTATTAAAGTTATTTTAACGACCCTATTAATGAATTATTCAAATTGAAACTAAATTGAACAAATTTAGTAAAAACAGTTCTTTTGTGTAACTCCATCCACGAAGCGTTATCTAACAACATCATTTATAATCAAAGCGTAATTTCCTTTGTATTTAATACTCGTTAACCTCGATAATTTTGGAGCAGACCCAATTTTTGTTGATAATCCTTCTAGCATTTTATTTAAATTAACTATTAATGCAACTAGCGCGTGGATTCAGTTCTTCAGTTATAAAATTAATCCCAAAATTCGGTGGCACAAACAGGATTTTTGCTAGAGGGTGTGCTAAAAATCTTTTTTTTATTTATTACATACTGTTATTAGCATCAAAATCATACACTGTTTAATAAACAGTGTTTATATTAATAATTGACTAATGACAGTTATAGTTTTTCTAGTCTCTTATTGATAATGCCATTACATTCCTTCAAACAATTTTAAAAAATTGTGTACATAAAATATTATTGAAAGTATGATAAAATATTATTAAGCTTTCTTAAAGTCATTAAAGCAATTTGAAAAATTAAAGACATTTTAGATATAATTTAAAATTTAACTTTTCTATTTAAAATAGTGACCATGCATTTTGTCACGAAAGTACTCATTAAATTAATCAAAATCAGAGATATGATTAAAGATACCAAAAAGTAGCTTGCTTCTCTAATTTTTCCTTAGTTGACAAAATTTGCTTTTTTTTTATAAATTAATTGATCAATGAATGTTAAATATTAATAAATTGGTAAATTGGTCACATCTAAAAAAATATTATTTAAAAAATTATTCTCTGACTGAAATCAAAGAAAATATGATTAGGTATCTCAGAACAATATAAATCTAAATTTGTCTCAAAATTATATAAAGAAAAGCACTTTTGGCACTTTTTTAAACAGCGATTTGATTAGATATATACATTTTACTTTGTGCGAAGTTTTATTTTCAAATCTATTAAATCCGAAAGATAGATGTATTGTTTTATTCAATGAGATATCTGCACAAGACATCCGTATGGTTATATTGTTTGCTGGTATGCTTGAAGTTAATTTATCAAGTTTTATATATTTTAAAAGGAAATTAAGCACCAAAATGATTTATAGACAGTTAGGTTTCTATCTATTTGATTAATTAACGGTTCATTCATTTTCATAGACAACCTATATGTCGAGAACGTTAACAATTAAAAACATCTCACAATTTCTGTTTACGATAAATAAATTATGTAAACATGACTAAATTACATTTAAGTTCCTCTTATTACCAACAAAACAAGTCTCAAGGTTACTCATTTCAAAAATATCAATAATAATCAAATTAAATAGATTACATTATTTTTATTTTTATGTATCAAAATGTAAAATGATACATATTTTTTCAATTAACATGCAATTATGTACATTACAGTGATTTAAAAATAAATTAAGTTAATCAATTTGAAAATATTAATATTCATAACTTTCGTTTAAAGAGAAACACAAAGTTGGGTATGTGTTACGACAATAAAGCGTTGAAAAAATGCATTAGAAATCGTGTTAACGCTCTAGGATAAGTTATTTTAGTGCCGTTTCCTTTTATCTTAAAGCGTTAATAAACGTTATGTCAAATAAATACAAAATAAAAATATTCTGAAATAACTTAAGGCATCCTTTGTTAACTTAATTGTTTGATTGGTATTTTTTTTTTAGTGATAACATTTACAGTATATTTTGAATAAGTACATTATTTTCTCATGATAATAAATTCATTTGTTTTTAAAATTACTTTCTTGTCGTAAAGTAAATATTTCTTATTTATTATAGTAAACTATGACTAAACCTTAAAAAAAATATTGATTATAGAAATTAATTTTTAGTAAGCATTTTAGGCGAAATTCGGCAATCTAATACTAAAAGAGTTTGCAATAGTATATTGAAAATGCTTATAAATGTCCATTATTATATTTAAAGTAAAAAATTAACAAAAGTAAATACTGTATAATTATAAACTGTCATGTGTGTTCAGATATCGTCATAAAATATTGAACAACCAGTTAACCTTTTAAAGTTATTGTGTTTATAAAAATGTAAATGATATATAAATATACGACTTTTATTAAATAATTCTTTGTAAAAAAATAAATAATGTTCTATTGAAAAGCCACGACAAGCTTGGTTTATGGTAATGTATCAATAACACTATGTACATTTATTACGACCCAGTCTCTCATTGTAAAATTATACACAAACTTAAAAATAACACCTTTAAACTTTTTACAAACATAAATCCAAAAAGATTTTTCGGTTGTTTTTTATTTTATTATATTTAAACAATTATAGCCTAAAAATTTATATTAATTTTATTGTACTTACTAGTTCTTTTTTGTCAGCAGGTAGTTTCATTTTGGATGCCAGTTCAAATATCGGTAACGGAAATACCATAGGTTTGGGTCTTCTGAGAGGCGGATCTTGTCGGCGAACCATATCCATAAATCCGTCTATGACACCAGGACTTGGGTAAAGCTCAATATCGGAGGGTAGCACGTAATGAGTAGTTGCTGACTCTCGGGCAACGTTTCGGCCAACATTTACTGGGTACAATAGTTTTTTCTGACTTTTATATAGTGAGCTGGACGTGACATTTTTCCAGGTTGGTGGCACCGCACAATTTACGGTCGCGTCAATTTCTTGATCGGAATGTGGTATTGATTTAGGGACGTGTCTTGACGAAAAGTACAAGTGGAACGTAACCAGTTCGGCCACTAGTGGCGATCCGCATTGTCTCAAATATCGGATAGCCGTTAAAGTGGGTAAGAAATCATTTCCAGGCGTGTACAAAGCTATTGAAATAGGACCTCTCCATCTACATAAATGTTTCTTTTAAGTTAAATTTTCATAGACCATGGAGTTTGTAAATAGGATGAATTTCACTTACCTATCCAAAAGGGGCTCCAGGTTATCGAGGAACGTATAGTCTGCATGTGTAGTATATGTGATAGACTCGTCACACTTAAACCATCTTCTTGCCGGCACGTAGTTGTATAGCACCCAGTAATCGCCCCGTTGAGCTGTTCGCCTATGGTTGGACTTGTCACTACACCCTACAAGTTCACGAAGCGGCCGTAAGGACGTTACGCCCCCACTACCAGCGTTAACTGCGGACGTAGTTGACGCCGTGGTGGTGGTGGACGTTTGTTGTTGTGTAGGCCCTGCGTCTTTTTTGTCTTGAGTCCATGATTCGGCTGCTGCTGATCCCATTGAAGTATCAGATGCTACATCCGAGGAATCAACAGGAACAGAAGGAAGGGACTTGGGTTTAATTCGCATTACATGACTATCATCTCGTAAAGTGGTTCCTATAATTAATATTTAATTTTAACAATAAGCTACTATCTTTTACCTAATTGAAGTAAATTAAAAAATCACAAAATTCATAACCATAAAATATTAAAATGTTTTTAAAAACACTCTTTATAATGATTAATTTAGAAATAGATTTTTTGAAATTATGTCATAAACGATATAACATTATTTTAACATTACTTAGGAAATCCATAAAAAAGTAATACTAATAGGGAATAAAATATTAGCAAATCAACGCAAATTATTATGATTTGCGTGATGTAGATGTAATGAATAAATGCATTATATAAATTACAACACGTGGAAAGAAATAATAAAATTTTAAAGCAGCAAGACAAATCTATTATATCCAATTGGGTTAATAGAAGATTACGCAATAAGCTTTAAGTAAAATTTACTTTATAAGTGCAGTAAAAATGAAAATAAATATTTTTTTTTTGTCAAAGCTATAATTACAAACTAAGATGCTGTGATTTATAAGAAGAACCTATGATATAAAAAATCTATGACGTTACGGTTAAGTGGTTTGCGGTTTTTATATGTGTAATGATTTTTCTTTGTTATCGATTAAGGTTGTTTACAATAACAAAGGTTTTTAATTGCCTGATAATATTGTAACAATACTAGTTTTTAGGATCATCATTTTAATGATGTATGTATGGCCAAATAAGGTTATTAGCCTTATAGTGTAGAATTAAAATCAAGTGTAACATAAATAAATTTGTTCGTTGAGCTACAAAATCAAAAAAAAAAAAACTGATTATAATATCGGGTACTTGAAAGATATATTATCTTTAATAGGGACCCGACGATAATAATAAACTCAGTATAGACGGGAACCAGCATACTAGGAATCCGGAATAGTATACTCCAGTATAGATTGAAATTTGATTGTGATATGCATCAGCATAAGCATAAAACACGTTGTTGGAATTGTTAGAAATATTATGAAAAAAAATGAAATATGACCGCCAATTACTTTAAGAAAAAAAGTTGTCGAGACGTTTTTACTTTTTTCATAAGAGTGTGACATTTAAATAACCGGAATGATGTCATAAAAATTTTTATTTGTCACCAATCACATTAGAAATTTTATCATCTTCAATGTATTTCTGTTGATAATTTCTACATTGTTTTGTAGAGTTGGAAATCCACAGCTTGTTTAGAATCTCCATCATATTTACTTTAACAATTTCCACACTTTCAATCTAGTTTCCGTTAACACTGATTTGACTTTTAAAAATAAAAAAAAATCGAAGAGGCAAAGTCCGGTTACACTGGGTGAGTATGGTAGGTGTTTCAAGGGGTAACAATATACAGAGTGTTCAGTAAATAAGGAAACGAATTTCTATTGTACTCATTGTTTGTAACAATTTAACTGTTTCCTAACTTACTGAACAAACTGTATATGTAGGAACATCGTTTCATACAAATCAGATTCTAACTGATACATTATTTTGGAAAACCATGATCTGGACTCAGTCTTCTATGAATTGAGTCTTCATTATTTTACACGTTAACGAAGGGCCTTTAAAACCTTGATATTAAAATATTGATTCATCGTCTGGTCCTTAAAGACCCAATGAACTTAGACAATACCATAAATGTCAAGAAAGATCAGTCCAGTTATTTAATATTTAAAATCTCGTATATTTTAAAATACTTTCCGGGCGTTCCGGAAAATTATATTCCGTTTCCATAATTACTTATTTTATAATATTTTATAAATCACAATATATTTTGAAAAACAATTAGTATTCGTCAAAAAGAAATGTGATAAAATAATTTTGTTTTAATTAGCTCGTGAAATAAGTATTAAAAATATTGTGATTATTCAAAAAAAATGTATAAGGTTTTTGCACAAATATATACGATTTGAATGTATTATTGAATTATTATTTAAAAATATTAATACCTCTTCAGCTTCGTTCAAAACTAAAATTATTTCAGAATGACAATACTGTAAAAATGGCATTTTCAAAACAATTTTCTTTATTATAAAGGAACTATGACATTTTTTTAAATATCTGATCTTAATAAATTTTTAATTGGTTGTAATAGACACAATAAGCTTTTTTTTTTTTAGTTCTCTTTCTGTGCAAATATTAAGAATAGGAAAATTAAAATGTTTAAACAATTAAAATGTGGCCACTTTGCGTGTAAACAATTTTATTCAACTACATTTTTGAAAAATTTACGGAATGACTGAAACTTTCAATCTTATATCAAATTAAATTACTTTGTGATTTATAAGAGTATTTTATGATGAAAAAAGAAAAACGTTCAACAATATTTTTTATATGAATAATTAAAATTAAAATCCATAAATCGCAAGAATCTGTAAAAATTAGACCCCTATTTTTTCATTTTGTTATAATTCTTTAAAAAATTACTGATCAAAATGAAATTTTTGGAATGACTGCGTTCTTAAATCTTGTATCAAATTAATATTCATAAAATGTATAACAATATTAAAAAAGAATATTTCAACCTGATGGTTATTCTATTATGAAAAATCGACTGTCAAATAAAAAACCCAGCACAGGGGGGTTGCGGCACAGTGGTGACGTGGCGTAGTTGGATCAAGTATAATGATATCTGACAGTGATTAAAATCACTATCAAAAAAAACGCTTTGATGCACATCTTTAGATAGTGTTTAATTGTAAAAACTTGGTGGATTATTCCAAAAGCTACATGATCTGCTATTTTCTTATTAATATCATGAATGAAAAAGAGAATATTAAAAAATATTATTTCTCATAAAAAAATTGTGTTGATTCATACACTTTTCAATAAGTTATAGTATTATAAAGTTAAAAATATAAAAAATAAAATCAAGAATGTTCACACGAAAATAGCATTTGGTAGCCATTTTCACCACGAAGACAAGTCCAGAAGTCAAATTTTAGTCAAAGGTTAAGTGTCAGATTTAGAAAAAAATATATACCAAATGATAGGTAAAGATATCAAGCATCTTTATAAAAAAGAATTATATTGATATGTTCATTTTTGAAAAAGTTACGGCAGTTTTTAGTAGACCAATTGAAAAAAATTCGAAAATTAGCGAATTTTAAATTTGTAATTTTTTATCATACATCATATAAACACATCATAGTAAAACCAATACCTTCTCAGCTTCGCATCGAAGCTAAAAGGTCACAATTAAAAAAATAATAATACTTTACTTTCAATTAAGCAAATATTTTAATAAGCATTTAATATTTCCGTGAAATTTTAGAACAAAGAATTTGTGAAATTACACATATAGAAATTATGAAAATTAATAGATTTGCCTAAAGCGTTTTTTTATGATAGTAATGTTAATCACTGTCAAGTATCAATTTCTATTTTATGAATAATTATTGTAAATTTAACTCTAAAAACCTTGAAGTCCAGGAACTTTTATGTTTAATTATGAAAGTTAATCTACTGTCATTTTTCTTTAATTGACAGTGTTTTTGTATACTATTAGTTAATTGCCTCTATATTAAAATAGCGTCTTTCTCACGTGTCAGTTTTATTTTTAGTTTCATTTACTGTTTATTCAAATGCGATGGTAAATAAATCAGTTAAACTTATTTTTTTTCCATGGCTACATATGTGGATTGAGACTTGACTTACTATTATTCATACCGAAATGTTGCTACTATAAGTTGTATTACTTAAAAAATCTAAACCTATAGGAGATTAAAGGAAAATTTTATGTAATACTTAACCAAAGGATAAGTTTTCGGATGTATGTAAGGATAGTTGATAAAACTGTAAGTTATAAATTGTTGTCTATCGTATTTTTGCATTATGAATTTTATCGGTACTATGCAATTAAGAAATTTAAGTTATTTAAATAGTTTAAACTCGGGATAAGGTTTAAATTATTATTAAAGAAGTACAAAAAATTCAAAACGATAGTAAACCTTGAACTGGTGTTTGGATCGATGAACCTTGTTGTTGTCCAGCAATGGGTTGTATACTAGCCAGTAACGCTAGTTCGGGATAATTAATTGAGCCGCCCGATGCGCTTTGATAGTAAAACGACTCTTTATCGGCCGTCTGAGATATGTCCAAAGAAGCCAAGTTTCTCCCGGACAACGGCATCTCTTCCACAATTTCTGGGTTCCCATTTCTATTCAAGTAATTAAAGCACATACATTAGCATACTTTTATTGGTGTAACTATTTATTTGATACGCCTTTAGTAATTAAAAAAAATAATTTGGTGAACTCGACTTTTATTATGATCGTACCTGACAGTCAGTAGGGACCCAAAATAGAAGATTACGGCTACGTTTAATACGACGCTCAGTCGTAGTAGCCAGTTGCGTCTTGTCAGCATAGTCTATACTGCTTTTTAGCCACGTCTTGTACACCATTACCGAACCTGAAATAAGAATTATAAAATATGTAAACATCCGGATAAATGTAGAAAACGTAAAGTATGAGCATTGTCAGATGTGGAAAATTCTGTGATATTATTTCTGTCAAATAATATACCATAATTAATCAACTCTCATGATAACGTTGCATTAAAATACATAGTATAGTTTTGAGAAAACTACTTTTTGCCAATTTGAAGTTGAATTTTATACCCGCAATTATACACAGCATTCTAACGCATGCAACTTATTTTTAACACTAAGTAACCCAGTCAGAAACATTGACAATTGTAAAATGTAAATGTTTTCTCGTTACCCGTAAATATATTGACTCGACCTATAACGCACGTCTGTGATGCGCTATTTTATAATTATACACGCCTCCCAATTTTATCACATTTGCATTGAATAGCAAGTTATTTATTAATAATAATTTGCACTTTACAACCGACGTTGTGTTTGGAAAATGTGAACTAATCTTCGTCGACAAAATTTATAAACAACCATAAGGTCATATTGACATACATACTTAAGTTTTAACATCAGTCATACGATTTCAAATGATATTTTTTATGCGCTGGAAATTTAATGATTTTCTGATTCACTGATTTTCGTATTTGTAATTTTATTGGAATAAATATTTTCTGACTAATACCAAAAATTGATTTTTAATTATCTATTTAGAATCCGTGATCAACAAGAGTCACAGTCATAGAGAAACTAATATGATGCGCACAAATAATGAACTACTTAATATTACACACTAGTTTTCTAACGTGTAATTTCCACAGAAATTATGCCTGGGAAATTTCGGTGTTACTTGACCCTTATAAATTAGTAGATCCCGTTAAAGTTGAGGACTACAACTAACCAATGTAAACGATTTAACTATAGTTACCTCGACACGCCTAAGATTTATGGTATCAACGAATAAATTTATACTGCGATGCGATACTCAAAATTATACGAGGTTACCTTGGCGCTAATTATTTTCGTGGAAAATCTTTGATTGGTGTTTGATAACAACTGTGATGTCGCAAACTCCTACTGATGCTTTGTGATATGATGTACGTTTGGATTTTCCTGTATGTACGAGTAACATTTATGGCGTTCTTGTTTGAAATGGACACAATTTTTAATGTATAACCGACTGTCAATATTTTTAATTTAAGTTTTCACTTGTTACTAATATTGTAAAACAGTTTACAAATTGTCTATCAAGAACAAAATATAATGTTTAGTGTCAACAATAAAATGAAAACATGACATTCGGGTTAGTCACCCCGTATATTAGATTACGTCAAATCGTGTAGATGACTAATATTCACCATACATCGTTAGTCTCCATTGAAAAAAACTGGACTTGAAGTGGATCAGTCAATCGAATGATGTCAAATCGGTTGCCCACACGTGTCGACCGGAACATTATGATGTACCTACTCGCAACGTCTTTGTGAAACTAAACGCATCATTTGTGATTTTTTCTTCTATTAAAATATTATGCAAATCCCAGTAGGTTTGTAAATGAATAATAGCGATACATGACAGATATAGGAACACAGCTCATTGAATTATACTACAGGATAATAATCAAATGTGTTTATGAAATAGTAAAACATTAGTAGGCTTAATGCACGTCATTTGACTCCCTATAACATTTGTTGCGATTAACGTTAGTATAGTCTGTCTTGTTTCCAATAAATTATTTAATGATTTAAAATGCATTGTCTTTAGTTTAATATCAAATCCAGGACAGTGCCCACAGGGAAAACTATAAATAATACTTTCATTCTTAAGTTCATGTGTGACAAGATTTTAAAATTATATATATATCAAACTTATGCAATAGAGTGTCGGTTGGAATAATGAGTTTGGATTAATATATTCATATAATTTACTTAAAATCTTCAAAACCTATTTTTGGAGTTCTAACATTATTTCAACCTTGCGTCATATTTTTAGACAATGAAAAGACGTGAGCTTAAATGTTATGAATAATATTTTTCTAGTAAATATCCTTATTTGGTCTTTTATTTTTGTCGTTTGACTAGTTTTGTGGAAAGTAAGAAGTAGACAAATATATAAAAACTTAAAATTTCATTACGACACGCGTAATATCTTTAAGTTATGCAAACTCAGTAGCAAATAAAACAAGTAGTTTGAACAGTAACAAAATCAAACATCTTACAAACACAAAATGAGAGTTTCATGTATTGTGATGATAATTTTGCCGTTGTGTGGATCGGGAAACACAACTATTTTCTATACTCTCAGACATCTTATTAAGTTTATGCACATTAAGCTGTACGATTTTCTCAAGAAGATATTTTAGAGCCAGAACATTGATGATCACCATTACAAACGTGTTATTTTCAAACCTTTCGCATGTAACTACTAAATGTCACTTAATTATTGCGTAGTAAATCTTTTAAAAATACCTCGTTATATTTTCCGTTTCTCGTTAATTGAATGGAAATTTTAGCACTTTAAAGTTTAATACCGGTAAGTATACATTTAAGGTCAAACATTAATAGTTATAAAAAGATGCGATCTTTGAATTATGAAGCACTCAATTTCTGACAATGATCGTGTAAAAAATAAATCGGCATGCACTTTAAAACAATGGATACGCAATTAAAAACAAAATCAAGACATTAAGGAAAGTCGAAAAAGTAAACATATAGTGAGCAACAACAACAATAAAGAAGGAGATAAGAAAGGAACTTTAATATTGCCATACACACACGGAATTATAGATCGTAACTTCGTTAGATGAGAAATACTTTTCTGGGAGACAAAGTAACATAACAGTGTTTAGAAATGTATTAACATTATTGATATTATCTGGATTAGCTATATCAATGTGAGTTTTGAGTATTTCAGAAAGTTATTGTCTAAACATTTCAGCTTCATCTGTATCTGTTAAAGCAAAAGTGTTTTTTAGTTTAGTCCATGGAGATAAAGATGTTTTAAGCTGAAGAGTTTTTTTAGTATCAGACTAGAGACTACCATTAGAGGAGTGGGAAAACCAGGAGTTATTTTCAATAACATTTTGATTTGTGTTTTGAAATAAGTTTTTGAAGGGAGTTGGCTAATTAATATACAAGGTTCAGTTGGAGGGTAAACAAGTGTGTTAATAACGCGTTCTAGCTTTTCTCTTTTCCCAATAACTTGTCTTATACTAAGCAGGAGATTAGTATTTATTTACCAATAATTAACAGTATTAATTATTTATTTATATAATTATATATTTATATAAATAATTAATAATATTTAATAATAAATATACTTACACATCATCTAAAAACTATACTTTAAAATAGTAATAATTTCAAAAATAATGGGTCAAAAGTTATTATCAACCAGACATTTTCTTAATTAAATCACTTTTTATTTTATAAACCAATTCAACATGTTTATTGCCATTTAAAAATATATAATTGATAATCTTATGAGGTATAAGTGATAAATTAAAAAATGAATTAATAACTAATGAATCAATAAATACATGAAACTAAAAAATACTAAAAATAATTTTCGTAACATAATTATTATTTGAAGAGAAATTGAGTAGCTAGCATTAAAAGAATCGCCCTGTATACTAAGAAAAATGAAGACAACACATTTCTGAAAAAGCTATATTCTATATATCTGACAATTGTTGTTGTAAAAAGGAAGATAAGAATGTCAAGAATGTCGAAAACAACAACAAAAACTAAACACAGACAAAAATAACATTAATATCAATCTAATAATCGTTATCAATAACATCACCAACAAAAAATAATCATATTGACGTTTTCAGTTATCAACCAATACTGATATAAAAACTAACAGAAAACAAGTCAGGCCGACAGTAGTTACAACCTCGGACATACAACTATCTCTCCAAAGATGAACTTACAAAGAGTTCGAAACGTTAGCACAAAACTGAAGACGTGGATATATTTATAAATATTCTAAATAATACAACAATCTATGAATTATTCATTTATAAATGGTTCAATTTCTATTCAAAAATGATATAATTGTAGAATAAATTCATTTTAACATTTAATCAACACCGAGCAATGTAAAACTTATTCGCCTTGACAGTTTTAACATGTTTCAATTTCGCAAAATAAAATCGTTATTGAAATTTGTATGTAATTATATATTTTTTAATCAAATTGATATTATGCAAGTTAAGAATGTTAAATTAGAAATCACGCTCGTGGTTTTCTTAGTGTATGTATTCACCAAGAATTCTCTTGGTGAAGGTCTAGGCCAAATATTCCCTACTACAATCATAAATTTGCATCGTGATATTTCTAAAAATAAAAATTTATAATATCGTCCAGTGATTGATTAGAAACTTATAAATAAATGAATTTCTATTGAGTTTATAATAAAGTTTACAATCAATTCACATATATACGATTTATTTATTCTGAAAGTGCATTATTTAATAATTTCTATATAGCTAAGTATGATTTAATTATTGTACTTCAATAGTTTGTACAACCTAGATTTAATATTCAACCGTTTAGTTTTTAAAACAGATAATTGTAAAATCATTAAATCAACGTGCTATTTTTAAAAATTGCTCAACATTTCAAATAATTTAAAATTTAAAATGATAATTTTATTATATACTATTTATTTGAAAATACTGTATATTCTATGTATGCTCCTTATATCATGAATTATTAATAGACTAATAATATATTTATTTAACTTTTTAATTAATCACAACATAATTATACCATATTTTTTTTTTAATTAAAATGACATTCTACAATTATATTGCATAGATTACGACTCGATAGGTCTAACCAAATTGGTAAAAAAATAAGCTTGGAAAATTATAGTTGACCCTCTTTTATTATTAGTCACCATTAGCGAAAGTACTCCACTATTTTTTTCATACACATTGCTCGATAGGCTTATAGACAATTCACAAAATTAAAAAAGTTTATGGATAGGTAGTACGCTATTTTTTTTAATTTTGTTTAAAGAACAAAACATAACTATATTAAAAAAAAACCAAAAGTAATTTTTGAAAAACGCGATTTTTATTTGGGTAATGGAGCTTACATATTTTTAATGTTAAAAATAAAAAAGTTTAAGCCACTATATTAAGCTGATATACTGAAAAGCTTTATCTACTTGGTGGTCAACTATATGTACGAGTATGACGTATTCATTTATCGTATCGTATTTTTCAATCGACAAAAGGGGTGTCACCACAACTCTACCTACGCATTAGTGATGAAATGACACTGACAACGGGAACGCCTGTTGAATATAAAAACGGTATATTTCCGTTGGATACGCAATATATTATATTGATACTAAACCATCATCATAACCATACGTTTTACAGATGGCTAATTGAGAGCGGTGGATCTTCGCTGTGGTTGTGTCTCGTTGTTTGCATACGCTTACGGTCAAGCACCTCTGATGGACAAAAAGAATAAAAAAAAAGGTATTCACACTAATATTTATGCACACACACACACACACACACACACATATATATATATATAATACCCATAACCTCTAGATGATGGAAACCAAACAAAGCGTAAAAAGAAAAGTATCTGCACCGAAAATTCGTTTCGTTTAACTATGATTAAGGTCAACCGTGACGTCATGGTTATTTGATGAAGCATTTTCTTTGAAAAGTATTTATCTACAATACATAAACAACTTTATGTATCATTATGAATTGTATTAATAAAAAAAAAAATCTTTACATAAATGCGTCCGGCTAAAAATAGGATCAAATTTGTGAGTGTAACTTTGAAACCAATTAACGAGTGCTCAAATTATTAAACCTTCAGAAACTCACAAAAACATCGTATTTTAAACAATATAGTCATTTTTTACCCAATGAAAAAAATCAATAAAGCTGTATTTTGTTAATATTTTAGCTTTAATGCAAAGCTGAGAAGGTATTAATTTTACTATGATTTGTGTATAATTTATCTTTTGTGCCTGTCACTACATTTTTTCAGCTCTCAAATAACTGATTTTGATCAACGATAAGTCAAAAGATCAAATATTGTATCTAGTTAAAAACATAACCCTTAAAAATTATAAAAATACTATTCTTTCCTGTAAATAGAATGATGTACATCAATCAAAAAATTACGATTTTTAAATCGGTAAATTTCAACATTTTTAAAACTAACATAACTCTTTTGAGATAAATTAAAATAATTATTTATTTATAAAAACTTAATATATTTCCTTTAATATAGCTTTTTAAAGTTTTGTTGTAATTCTTTGAAAAAGTATGGACTAGTAAATTTGTTTATAATTACTTTATTTATGTTCTTTTTACTATTATTTAAAAATTTTAATATTTCTCACTGTACAAGAAGTGAATGGGGTTTAAAACTTAAAATATATGCATACAAAGTAGTTTTTAAACTGAACTTTTGAAAATGTTTCGGAAACACTGCGTCTTTAAACATATGCCAATTAAAGCTTTTGTTACGAACTATAAATAAAAAAAAAATTGTTCCATCTTTTATATTTAAAACGCTCACGAAGTTCAGCAAAAAATTTTATTTTTGTGTAAAAATAACAGTTTTTCGTATTTTTACAGGATTCTACTTCATTTTTTTTTAATTGATTATAATACCACTATTTAAGGTTGAACAGACATATTGGAAGTGGAGGTACACACCTCCACTCCACCTCCACAGGATTAAATAAAGATACACATCTTTATTTAGTTCTCCTTTTTAGAAAAAAAATAATAATTAAATAAAATTTAAGTATTAATTATAAATATTTTTATGAAAGATTTTTGCAACTTCTTATGTCCATTTAATAAGTACATAAAAGAACTCTTTCTTTAGTGCACCCTCTGCATCACTTATCAAAATATTTGATTTATGAAAATTACAATTTCAATTTTATAACTAAAATTCTTAACAGAATTATCAAACCTTTTTTTAGTGATGTTATTACACTATTACCGTAATAGAAAAGTAATATATAAATATTTTTTCTTATTTAATTGTTTATCTTTAAATATTATTTTGTACGATCAGTTCAATTGAGTTGAATATCAAATTGTATTTAAAAATATAGTTTCAACATTTGACTATGATTTTTACTTCTCCGTAAAAACTATAATAATAAATTATTGAATATCAATTTAACAATAAATTTAATTACTATAATAAGTATTTTTTTAATGTATTATACTTATAAATCATAAATCATAAAACTTAAACAGGATATAGGATAAAATGTACAGTTATAGGCACCGTGAATAAATTACTTATGTTTTAATCAGTATATTTATTTATTTAAATAAGTTGAATTTTTCTAACTAGAATATAGAAATAAATTTTTTTTTTTTTAATTCTAATTATGCATTAAGTATGTTCAATACTTTTTTTTCAATTTATAATATATAGTTAGTACCTTTATTTTTGCATAAGTATTAATGTTATTCAGATCAAACAGTTATTAGCACCATTTTTTAAACGATTATAGTACCTTTCACAGTTGAACAAAGATTAAATTTTTTACAAAAATATAAAGCAAATGGTCTGACTAATTATTAAAAAAAAAAAAAAAAAAAATCTCAAAAACCAACATACATGTTTTTTTAATAAAATATTTAAGCTCCTGAACTACTGGTTGAAAAATTGTTACGGACAAGTCATTTTCTTAGTTAAATTGCTTTCTACTATATACAAACTAGTTAAACATGTATGTTTATATTTAAAAAATAACGTGAGTCTTAAAAATACTATCTAGCATTGGAATGACGGGAGATTTTCATGAAATTTGGCCTGAACCTCTTATCTTTGGGGAGTCCAAACGTCAATTATAAAATAAAAATTATCCCTATAATATTTAGGACCTTACTTCTTATTTTTTATATAGATAAAATTTCAAAGCCTAGTAAAATTATAAAAGCGTTTAACAATTTTGGTGCAAATTACATACGTTGTAAATATTTTGGGTCAAATTTAGTGCAAATTTATAGTTTTGACAATGGCCAATTTAGTAACCTTTAGATATAAGACTACCTAATTGTTAAGTACCTAAACTAACTTTTTAAGCCTACTGGCTTACACAGTTGTAATAATATAATAAAATATATTGATGTTATATTACTTACTTCATTGATCATTAATTTAAAGACTTCATTCGTCTGAAACAATAAAAAATATTTTAATATATAAAACTCATGTTAATAACGGTACGTTATATATTCATTGCATTTGTTTTTTAGTAAATTTTAATTTTCAATAATAATATAGTCTAATAATTACTCTTTATCTAAATAAAAATTGTTATTGCATAGTATGTACCATTAGGCTAATATACATAGTCGTGAGTTATTTAACATTTTCTGATAGTCATCATGTAACTAATTAAAACATTAATGAACAAGAATTTAAGTCAGCGTTTCGTGTGATTCTTTAGATTTCGTGACTCGACATGATGACATAAATCAAACTTTACTAAATTTTCATAGGAGCAATTTCATTTTGATTTGAAGCCCTATAAAAATATTAATAATATGTTTGAAGGGAGGACTTTTACGACTTATAAATCTCGCAATCAGTATACATCGACAACGAACAAATTATAAAATATAAAACTTTTACTAAATAAGTTCAACTAGACAGCTAAACTCTTCTTCAAAGGAGCCTCTTAATTGTTCGTAATATTTAATCCACTCTAAAATGATAAAATATATATTAAAGTTTTATTTAAGTGTTTAATTGTTTTTTGAATCAAGCATATCTAGGATTTCTTAATCGATTGACAGTATTTTAATTGTAATGATATTAAAATAAAGCATAAAAAAGCAATAAAATATCTTGTTAGTTTTCCTTTTGACAACTTATTAAAGTTTTATGATTTATATCGTATACAATTAAACATTATAAGGAAAAAACAATCGAAATTATATATTATTTAAATTATCTTATGATAATTAATATGTTTAAGTAATTAGTATTTCGCGAACAATAATCGCCACATTAACGTACATTTTATGTCTAATGCCTTTATAAACGAAGAATTGTTCAAAAACTTTATGAAATGACTTTGTTCTGTTGGTATGCATTTTTTATATAAATCAAAAGAAAATTTAAAACTAGGATTTTTTACACATATTTGGTAAGTCAATCAGTCTTCAAACGACATATAATTAGTATCGATGCGTTCCCTGAAGACTTCAGTGTGCGGTTTAAACTAACCATGAGAATATGAAAAAAAATTATGCGCACTCTTTTATTCTTTTTAATGAGAACAAAACAAAATGGTATTGTATTTTCTAAGCATTATCAGTACTTTTAAGAATAAAAAAATGATATTATTAATTTAGTATTCATATTTTTAATTTTAAATTTATACTATAGTTTATTAGAGCATCGTTCCGGTCTATAGCGAGGGACTAGGAGTTATTGCTTCGATTTCGCTCAGAGTTAAATAAATCATGTAACATAAAAAAATTAATTAATTTTTTTTGACACTTGGTACTAATATGCCTATAATTGGTAAGCACTGTCAAATTATTAAATTAACACATTTTTTTGTATAAGTTCTAATAGTTAAATCTGTTATAAATGTTAATTAGTTGGTACCACTGCTGTTTACATGATGTAATAATTGATTTTCGTATTAAACAAAATACTAAAATGTCACTAGTTCACCGTGTTTTGCAGTACTTATGCGTTAATGAAGACGTAACATACATAAAAACAACCCGTTCGATAATGTTTGTACAATTTAATAGCTTAAACATTTTGTTACATAAATGTGGCGCCAAAATCAAGTTGTCTCAAATTTTTGAATTGTTATTTCTTTCAAGATAAAAGAAAAAAAATATTTTATACTAAACAAATATTAAATTAAAAGAAGTCATATTATTTCTCACTCGTGCTCACAACATTTACAAGAAACTTTACATCATACACTAAAACTTTTGTGTTCGATACTAGTTTACAATAAATGCCTACATTAATAATGCCAGTTGTAAATGAATTTTTTTAATATGATTTAAAGGTTTAACATAAGTCATTATATCAAGCACTTTGTTTAGCCGACGGCCTAGTGGTTGACGCCAACTGCATTTTAGGGACTTGTACGTATATTGCATATATTTAATTATCAGAGAACAAACAATATTAATTAAGGGGTTACAAGACGGTATCTTTTTGGTTCCGGACAGCGGAGTTGCTTGTTAAGGTATGGAACCAATAGTTGATTGAAAATAATCTGAGCTGATTCGAACAAGAAAGAAGAGACATCAAAAGCAATTTAACGTTGATTTAGGGGTTTGAGAAATCCTTAATTTATACAAAATTGATTTACAGTAGCTTATGAATCAATTCACATTTTTTTTATGCTGAACAGGCAATGTGGCGATTAGAGTTATTCGTTGTAGAAGTGTAAAAACACAAATTAGTTTACGAGAAAACCTTAATTTTGTGCGCACAGTAACGGTTTAGATAAACAATGCAACTATGCTAAGTTGCACTAAGTAACGTATTTTCTGGCGGACTTCTCAGCCATGTTTGAACACACTTATTATTTACATTAAATGGACTCTTCGTTTAATAAGAATTAAAATGAATTTTAAACGTTATATAAAATCAAACATTTTATGAGTGAAGCAGATTACGTTTTGATGTAAGAATGTATGTATTACACAAATATTACACAATTATTGTACTACTGTTTCGGAGTAGATTTACTTATTCATCGTAGCGGCCAATGTGTTGGAGGCGGTTGCTGTGCGACGAATTGATATCAGATAAGCATAACAAAAATACGGAGGTATTGCAGGCGCCAATCAAACACAAAATATTTAATTATTATTCTAGAATTGTTATTGCAAGTTGGTTCTGGCGGCATGACACTCATATCATCCCCTCATAATAAAAATAATTATATGACTGTTATATTATTTATTATATATAAATTATTAATATTTTTTTTCTTTTGGAGGATAAGTGAAAAATTTTCTATTGTATAACCCACCATGGTGAAACCTTAAGTACGCCATTATAATTTGGTCAGCATCCGTTACTAACTTGACAGGTAAACTTTAACTGTCTATAAGATGTTTTTTCTTCAGCCTGGGGTCGTGAAATGTTTTTAATTAAAATGATTAAAATTTTAAACGTTTTATAATAAAAATATATAATGGAATTTGTTGATACAAAACTTTCATTAAAAATATGAGTGGTAAGTATTTTATTTTTACTAGAACTAAACCCGTATTTCATATTTATCGGTTTTTTAACGATTCAATAAAATTACCGTAACAATAGTTACTAGCGTAGAAGTCTCCAAGTGTAGTCTTAATGGATTCTATGTAATATCATTTAAAATTTAAGAGTTTCTGAATTGATTTACATAACTACTACATTCCAACCATACCATGGCGTCATGTTAACCTTACACTTGCATGAATAATTAAAAATCGTGCAAATACGCAAAAACCGCGACCTTCACTTTTTTATGGTTACTTATCGATGGAAATTGACTGATGATTATTACTACTGTTATCGATTGATTCTTACCGCCGTGTAATTTACAAACTATTTATTATACAAATATAAATATTTTTAGTAAAATAAGTTGTTTTTATAACTAAAACTTACAAGTATATTTATAGTAATATGATTATAAATAAATAAAAGTTTATTGTGTATGAATCTAGGTAGAGTATAATTATGTAAAAGTGTTATGATGAAATATTTAGCAGTTGAGTATAGGCTTATTCGGATGATAACCAGTCGGTTTGAGAACACTATTAGAATAGCTATCGCCAGGTAATTCACGTAACGGTAACTGGACTGTGGTAGACCGGAACGAAATGCATATTTTCTAAAAGTTTTCCGACGATGTAATTAAATAAGTGCACTGATAACCACAATATCTTGAATCTTTTGTATAATTGTAGTTAACCGGGTAAAATTCGTGATTAATATTTATATCTTGATTTCATAGTTCATGTAGCAGCAACATTGTTTAAAAATATTAATTTTGTAAAAATTAGGTCAGTAGATTGGATTTAAATTTGACTTCAATTTTTATATTTTAATTGAAAAATATAAACAAATGATGGTTTGCGATATGAGGACAGCTGATGTGAGCGTAGATGATGTAGGAGATCGTGTCAAGTGGAAGTTTAGGATAAGGGTGGCCGAACCCAAGTAGTTGGGATTAAGGCGAGGGAGAAAAAGAAGAAACAAATGATAGTTTGCAAAACTCAAATCCTCAAAATAAATAAAAATTTAGATTTTAACCACCTTAAAATTCAGACAAATTAGATGCTCATTCTTAAATTCCATCTATGCTTGACTTAAATACATATATAACATATATATGTTATATTGTTTATATTTTTTACGTTTCAAGAGCACTTAAACGATCTAAGTTTATAATGAATATAATATAATAGTAATAGTTTTTTTTGTTGCTGCGAATCAATTATGAAACTTTATGTATTCAGAATTCGACTTTTATTTTTTTTAGATATTTATACAATACATATAAAGATTAGTACTCGAGAGTTTTATCCAGTTAATAGTATTAAACTTTAAATGAAGTTATGATCACTTTACATTAATAAAAAATAATTTATATATGATTATTTATCAATTTAACGATTGTTTTCTAAAAAGTAAAATGCAGATTTTTATTGAGTTAAAGCAATGATTTATTTACTTGCTATGATTTTTATATCACAATGGAATTACATGATAATTATCTTATTCGTTTAAAAACAACTTTTGATTCTTATGTCTTATAAACAGTTTTTATTAGATATAGATTTCAACCGACGTTTATTAAACAGGTCTCTTCGGATTATATTATTAAAGCGCTACGATACTGACTGGTCTTAATTCGTATTAAATATTCGAGAGCCACTTTTTAGTTTATAACATGATATTAGACTTTAAATAGTTTCACCTATATAATAACTAAACGAAATTAATTCGTTGAAATAATACCCGTACAGTACTCATTAACTACTGCTTATTCAATTCAATGATACAAATGATACATTAAGCATAAAACATTTCAATGAAAATATTGTTTTATTATTAACAAAAATTCGCTTCAATGAGTACCGAACAATGTAATTCTGCTTGAAATCTAAATCATTTGACGCCAAAGTATACCAAC